AGTGTAGCCGTTTCATACGAGGAAAAAGTGGGGTACGTATTTGATTTTGAGGTTAATTTTCATACCTTTACAAGGCAATCGGGTACGAGTTATACATTCCGTTATTCTGATTTTAGTGTACTTTATAGTTTCATAAAGTTTTCCTAATATTCTCTTATGCAGTACACTGAAGTGCAATTCCAGTTACCCTCAGGAAAATATCAGCCAAGGGACGCAGGTTCCTAATAACTACAAAAATATTCATGCACTGGCGCGCATTATGTCTAATTTACAATAAGCATTTTTGAAATCGATATATAATGCAATTTTTGTAAATACGTGCTCACTTATAAAAATACGTTGTTTTACTGCGCACTTCACATCTCAGAAAGGTGTTAGGAACTGCCTCAAAACGTAACTTAATATTCATCCTAAGAAAATTTATATTTTCGCGCGCTTTATAAGGACAATACCGCTAGTACTGTCTAGCGGTCGAGTGCAAAACTATAGAAATACAAAATTGCAATTTTGGGTAAAACAAAGCATTGTTGCAGTTTCTGGATTCTCGTAAATCGTTCAAAAGGCCCAACAGAATCAGGAAAATATTATTACAATAGGCTCGGAGCACAATATTCGAAAATTGAGAGAATTGAAATATGCGTGCCTCAAAATGCTTAGACATCTAACGGTAGAAGGTGGGAACTAATATATTAAATAAAATATTGCCCTTCTCGATTTTAAAAATAATAAAATGTTTCAGATAACGATACTAAATCGGTTTAAGATGTTTTTATATTTATTAGTAGGTCGAAACAATTTAATGAGGTATATAATTGCTTTAAAATCTAGTTGTATTAGTTCCCTCTTTCTGCCGCTAGATGGCTAAGCATTTTGAGGTCCATTCGGATGAAATGAGCTGTTTAGTGTAGTATGTACTTATAAAACATTCTGATGAGATCTAATTTTGCCATTTAAAATATGCCATTCTCTGATGGAAAAGGTTAATATTTTTTAGGTGGAGTAAGTGTTGATGTTACAGGGTTAGTAACAGGGTTACTAACAATGAAATGTGGAGTGCTTTAAATTCTCAAATAGTATCTCAGTTCCGGGCCCGATGGGAACAGGCAAGGAAGACGCCATAATGGCAGAGGGAGCACCTTCGCCTAATAATTCAGGTAACAACACTAAACACTCTACTAAAGGCACAAAACAAAAATATGACTTCAACGAATTAAAGAGAAGAACCTTAAGATCTTCTGGAAGCTTCCAAGAACGAAAAAGTTCTAATTTCGGACAATACACGTATAAAAAGGTTCAACTTACATCCTGCCAAGCACGTGGGCCCAGCCTATGTAAAAATCAAAATAAAAAGTCAATCACTAAAAAAACGAAGGCACAACATTTAATATACAAATGTTATCAACATAGCTGTCAACATCATGATGCTGGTGTACTCGAAATGAAAGCTAGGGGCAAAGGAGCAGCCAAGCTCAAATTCCTCAATAAAGATCTAGTCAATGCATTTATTCAAGAAATGGATAACAAAAAATGGGGCATGTTGGCCTTGCAACTGAAATTATTATGGAGGAACTTATAAATGATTCAATCAATTTTTATAAGATTAGAAGTGCAATAAGACAGGATACAAAATGTACCACTGAGGGGTTTGGGGAATGGGAATGGAGTCCCAATGAAACATTCTTATAATGTTCAAAGCAAATGTACTCCCGAACTACATTAGATTGTTTGGTTTATTGAATATCTTGGTAGAAGTATATGTCCCACCAATAAGAACTTGTAGAAATTGTTTTAAGCACAGACGCTCTACAAAATTTATAGAAGTGCTAGTATTTGTCAGTCCTGTCACCAACAAACAGGGAAGGATCATGTGTGTAATAACGTTGTTAAGAACAAATGCATGCAATTCAATCGTAAGCATACACTCCGCAACAACATGATAGGACACTCTTGAATTTTGTTTGTTACTTAAATTCAGTGATATTTGTAAACATTTGGTGAATACATCTATACAAAGTACTATCTGCTTTTGTAACATGCAAAAAATCTACTGTATATAGAATGAGCTACACGTGGATACATAGCTAGATGCTGCAGAGACATTATCATATACCAAGTGTGTGGTGCACAAGACTCAGAGAAAAACCATCAATACACTCATGGAGAAATTCCTAGTTGCCTCCACTATAAAGAAGCACACAGAACTTTCTTTCAAATATATGGCATATACAAATTCAACAAACAACTGCAAGAGACTATGGCATACCATAGCATTGAATACAGGGAAGCTAAAAAGATAGTAGCCAATATGAACTCTGAAAGTGCATAAATACTTCACAACAGCTCCCACTCACAAATCAGTTTCAACAGAGCAAATTTTCCAACCCTGAAATGATTAAATAAACCACACACAAACATTCACTTGAAAGTAACAATCATATGTATTCCTTCACATAATAGTGTCACTGATAATGAACAAGCAAATAAGGAAGCTAAAGCAGCAGCCCAGTCAGAAATAATGTATTTAGTGTCTTTTATACGGATATCTTCCCTCTTATAAAACAGAAAATATTTGAATGCCAGCCAGAAAGGTGGTGTATACATCTGTAAATATTACTCAGTATCCAATACCAACTTGGTTTCACAATAAAAATCTATCAAGGCACTTTACATTTTGAATAAATAGAGCAAGATCTAACTATTTTAATCTCAAAGCCTCTTGAGAAAGATTAATAGGACATTAAATGTCAATGCAGTTATCCAGTGGAGGTCATAGGTCATATGTTCTGGGACTGCATCTGTACTTAAAAGCACAGGAAAGAAATGTTTCAATGATAAGGATCAGTGGACTGCCTTCACCATATATCATATAAAATTTCTTAATGTGACCTAACATCATAGTATTGAAAATCACAGAAAAATTCTGTATTAAAAACAACATAAGACAGTGATATGTACACCAAGTACTGAAAATTGCAAAAATTGCAATTTTTTTTTAATAGTTCCACATTTGACCGCTAGATAACGCCAGTGGTATTATTCTGAAACAGTGCGCGCGAAAATGTGAATTTTAAACTACATGCAAAAATGAAGATTCTAAAATGCTCTCAACTTTTTAAATTAATTACTTTACAATAAACTACTATTTTCTTTTTATATCTTTTCTACACACAAAGTTGTGATACTTTATGAAAATGCTTAAAGTGAATTGTGTATAATGTGCGCCAGTGTGTGAATATTTTTGTGGGTGTTAGTGACTTTCACCTATTAGCTACAATTTTTCTCAGGGCAAAACTGAGAATCTGCATTTAAATATACTGTGGTTCCCATACAGAAAATGGCAATGTAGAGGAAAGAAATTTAATTACAAGATTAATTAATATAGGAATAATTTACAATATTTATATTTTGAAAATTTGCACTGAATAAACATATACAAATGTGGACATTTGAAGATTAGGAAATTCAAGAATTTAGTGATTTGAATATCCAGGGTTTAAACATTTGGGAATTCAGCGGAAGCAAAGTTGATAGTTAAAATGTGATAGTGAAATGTGTAATTGTAAGGATTTGATAATTTAAAAAAAATTTGATAATTTAGAAATTGGGAGCTTTGAGATTTAAAGATGTAGAAATTAAAAAATTTGTATAATCTTTCAGTTTAAGATTAAAAAATTTTAATAATTTAACATTTTGAAAGTATGAAAATTCAACAACTTGTCAATTTAAAATTTAAGAAAGCTTCTTCCTCTACATTTGCCCTTGTCCAAAGGATGTCAACGTTTTTCTTGAAACAGCATTATGTTAAGCAAACAATATCAACAATTAAAGTATGAAAACATATTCAAAAACTTCCCGTATGTACTAAAATTCGTACCATTAACTATTTATTTTGTTGGATATTATGCTGTCCGTTGTCACTTAACCTCTTTCTATGAAATCAACTTTGAAACTGAAATGTTAACATTTTAAAAAAAGAATTTCAAGCTGCAAAGTTTCTTTTGGCGTAAAAAATCGCGTAGGTTAACTTCCTGACATTCTTTTTTGTCAGAATAGTTGTCTGTGCAATGTGAAAAACGAAATATAAAATAGCTAACAAATATTTGTTTCGATGTCACATTCGCGACTGAAATATCTACAATTTATATACTTCTTACAAAATTCAACGATCGATCGATTAGATTATTTTTCGGAAGAGAATATCTTAAAATATACAACAGTAAACGTTAACGGTAAAATACTCGGAATTTACATGAATATTTTACAAATAAATTTATATAAATTCTGTAATACTACCATGATATCAAAATTTTAATAGAAAGATTGCTTTGGTAAGTTCAAGTAATATTACGTACGTATCATATAACATAAGCGTAAACGTTTCAAAATTAGATTTCTCCTAATTAATCTAGATATATGATTCAATGGATTAAGGATCTAACAGAGTGATGGACTAATTTCAGTAGCAATTTTCAGTGAAATCTGCTACACCGATCTAAACCGGATGTGAACACAGATGACGGTAAAAATCTATTTGAACAAAGACATTTTAAAGTAAAACAAGATTTAATGTGAAATACATTTGAATTCATTATAAAATCAATTTTAATTTTAGTTCAATTTTTTCTTGCAATAAAAACTTGTTATTACCAAAATAAAAATTATAAGGTAATTAAAATAGAATTAAAATTGATTATGTGACAGAATATGTCTAATTATTTTGTTATAAAAGTTCTTCACGCAAATAGATTTGAATTTTCCCGCCATCTCTACTGCCCTCTTTCTTATCTCTCTTCACTTTTCTTTCGGTTTAAATCAATATGGCGGCAACCTACCGAAAACGACAACATATTTTCCTATCACCCCCCTGAAAATCACTATTTATAGTGAGATCATCACTCCATTTGACCGTTAATAAATAAGAAGAGATGCGAGGTTGAAATAGTATCTGTGCACTGCTGTCGACGAAGTATGAAGTGAATTTTGTACGTAAGTATACGTACATATTTAATACCGATCCTTGCAATTTACGATGAGAAATCAGAGAAAGTCGGTGAATCGCTGTAGACGTGGAAAGTTTGATCTTCGTTGGTAAATCTGTTGACTTCTGTTATGTGAGACATCACTCTGTCAGAGATGTAGCTGATGGTTTCCACGCGATTCTTGCGCGTTGGATCGCTCGACTCGAAACAGTAATGAAAATGTAAATTATATATTTCTACTCTTTATAAGTTTATGAGTACCACTCATAATTTTTAACTTTTGTTCAACAAGAAGTAACATTATACATTTAACAAGATAACGCATTAACAATAACAAATACATTGTCGTTCACGTAAGTTCAGGCCTTGAAATAAATAGCAGTCTCATGCACACGCGCAATTATATTTGCGCGCGACCCTTACCCGCGAAATTTAAACGCAAGTTAAGTTGCAACATACATTTATATTAGAATAATTGGTGTAGCATGCACCATGATTATTCGACATAAAAGAAGAATAGTGCAATCACAATTTCTCTCATTTTAAAACAAGTGTCATTTTCGTCTCCGACGATCCATCTTGTGTTTTTATTTCACTGGCAAGTAGAGCGATTGAATATAGCCGCACTTGTACTCGCGGTACTGTTACCATTTCGACTGCTGCAACTTCAGGGTCTGAACTCACGTGTATGACTGTGCGTCAACCAGACATTTCCTTTGATAACAGTCTAAAAATACGGTTACTATTTTGGATATTAAACGAAACATGAATCACCTGATCGGAATCGCTGGAAATTGATTTGCGACTTCGGTTTCGGCAGTTCTCGGTAAACATCGACGGACTGGAAATGTCTCTCGATTCTGACACTTCTTGGACAGTGGAAAGCTTGCGATCGTCTTCATCGTCGTCATACACCTCCACCGCGGTCTCACGAATTCTCGCCTGACACTCTAGACAGGGAGGGAGGTGTATGAGAGGGACCTAGCTTACCGAGGTCTCCTCGACAGATGGGCTCGCCAGTGCTTGTGTCTCACCGTTGGAATGTTTCACTTCATCCTGACCTGAACGTGATGCCGGTGGGCTGCTGCGTGAACACGATGTCATGCTCTGCATTGTTTGGCTACGACCGCCATGAAATCGCATACTGTACGCTACGCGATTACTTTGCAGTACTCCAGTCTAAAATAGTGCAGCAAATTTTACATCCAAAATAACTTGTAACTATAATACATTGGGTTGGCCAAAAAGTTAAATTGTTTTTATCAGTAGGTGACATTTATTCAATTTATGTGTCAACATTTTTTCTTTGACAAATGCACATAGTGCATTCGAACTTACATTTTACAATATCTCTACAGTTTTGTTGAAGTAAATCTTGCACATACAATATGTCTGTAAACTGTGCCTATTCAGTTACTAGACCAGTTAATGTGTTCGAAAAGTAGTAATTCACAGAAATCAATATTCTATTCATTTGTACCACCTTATAACAAACAATGAATCAATGCATCAAATTTTTGGTCAACCCAATAAATATTATTGACAAATATAGACAAAGTTGCAATTTATTGTAAGAATACTTTCAAACTGTTATGGATTTATGCATTTTGAATATAGTCATGTGTCATGACTCATTTGATTATAATAAGAAGTAGTAATGCTGAATAAGCAACATTGCTTTTCTGTATTTCAAGTTTTTATACAGGGTGACATTTGTGTGACTCTCAGACTGTCATATTCTGACGGAGTTCTTGGGGGAGTTTTTAATAAAATACACTATGTTTGTTACTCAATTAATTATTAACTATTTCATATAATCTATTTCTATATTCTTAAATTTCTTTACTTCCAAATTTGGAAATCTGTTCTCTATTATACAATTATGGATGTTCTTTTTAACATCTTTCTCTTATAAAGATCTCATTCTTGCTTTTACACTTAGAAAGGTATTACTCACATTGGCATGCCCAGGTCGAACATTCTTGTATGGTTGAAAAAGTACCAAATATACCTTTGGTGTGAATAGACAGCCAAGAGCTACCGAAGCAGAGATGTTGATGCACATGCACATGCTTGCTATTTGTACCTGAAAATCAACCTGTATTTGTTGTTTGTTTCAGGACCAATAATGAAACAAACTAAAAACTATAAGTTTACTTTAATACCGATACGAATAATAATGACCTGAGTAACAAATAATGAAGATTATAACAAAGTGCTATGAACTGACTTTACTGTAGAGTAATTTGAAAACAAAAAAATTTGAAAGGCTTACAAATACCGACCTTGTAGTCATTGTTTGAGCCGAAGTAGATGGGCACGAAAGCTAACCATACGATGCAAGTCGAGTACATCGTAAAACCGATGTATTTCGCTTCGTTGAAATTTTCCGGTATCTTACGTGTTTTGAACGCGTACAGAGTACACATAAGTATCAGGAACATGTTATATACAAGAGACATCATTAGAGAGAACGTAGAAACGCGGCATGTGAGCACTGCCGATAAAGGATATGGGTGAATTTCCGTGGTGCCCGGTGGTTTAATGATCAGCCAAATTATAGCACCAACTAACTGCACTGCAGTGATCCCTATAAAAACGGGAACTGCATAATAGTACATCATGGTTCAGGATTTACGTTATTATGGCAAATGCTTGCAATAATGTACAATTATTCATGTTAATATTTGGACACAGTACTATTGGACACAGTACTGTTTTGTATAAGTTAATTTAGATATAAACAGTATGATACATCAATCATTCTTTTCTGTATACAATAATAAATATGACAGTGTCTGAATATTAATGTATCTGTACATATGAAAAGTTGCAATTTTAATGTAACTTTAATGGTGTACAAATGATACCAGGTTCATATCTTGTACAGAGCCAAAGTGGATAAAGGACTGTTAATGCTCTTTGGTTCTGCAATTGTATAGGTTATGAACAGTTATAAAGATATGGGGGTTTACATATTGTTCGCTAGTTTAGCCTATTGAAGCGATAAAAGGTGCCTTTGAAAATTGTAAACTCACCAATAGCAATTACGACTTGACTTTTTGGTGACGTGTAAGATGGTCTTTTTATACTTTTTGTCCCTTGATTGAATATGCGTGACATCCGGTTCGTTTTAGTCAATATTGCGCTATAACAGGTGCTTAAACATAAGCCTAACCCAATTCTCAGATAAGTGCAATTCCACGTTGTTGGTCTGCTTAATATCACGAAGCTCATGCCGTAACACGACAGAATTCCAACTAATAACACGTAACACAGCTCGCGTCCCGATGCCATGATCACTGGGGTTCGGTTAAAACTGAAACACAATAGGTCTTGTTATTAAATAACATATGAAATAACATCTTGAAGCATGGAAAGAGTTTATTGTTTTAAGTTGTTTTATCCCATGATGGATCAGAAGTATTGTGAGCTTACTTGCAGCCAAGTCTAAGCTGTTTTTCATACAATGAAGTTTTTCATTCCTTCAGTGAACTTTCATACAATATGACAAACATTTTTATGTTAAGTATAGAAAAGAAAATATACATTTTTTCTAATAAACTAAAATATAATAAACTCTACTGTATAAAATAACTTCAATAAGTGGAAGTGCCATGTTGCCTTTGTGCTACTGGTCCATTAAGGGTTGAAACTAGGTGTTTACTTAGGAAATATTAAGAAAGTGTATAGTAAAATTTACAGGATCTAAGTCCAACTAGTTTGAAGTTTACATATGTTAACAAAATTATAGTTTTGAGTATGTGATGCTCAGCATCATCTAGCAAAAGGTAGGTTTGTATAAGTGACTTATATCAACTTTTTATTTCAACTAAATTTATATCCTCCTACTTTTTATCAAATGACAAGTGACTGCTAGTAGTCAAATCTCTGTGGTAGACTATGACAATATACATCATGTAGGCATTTATTGGTTTAATATTATTTGTAAGACCCGTTATATGTTTATTATAATTCTTTGAAGTGTGAATGGAGTGAATGAAGGTGTTGCAAGTGAAGATGAATGATCGTTGGAAATGTATGAATGCCGTTAATGTTTAATTGATTTGTTACCAGTCCTTTGCCATCCTTGAATTGTAAAAGACGTGTTTTAAAAGATTCAATAAAATATTTAAATATTGTCCCATTAAATAAATATTAAAGTAGTTGGAATAATCATATACATTATTTTTGCAAATGATACTAATAATTATTTTGCATCTGAGAGTTAAACTAATTTTTCTCCTTTTTCCTGAATTGATTTTTACACCAGAAATGTGTGTTTTTATAATTGTTTTGAAAAGTTACAAAAATGGACGTCAGTTAGATAGGTTCAGGTAAAGAATTATGTTTGTAAACGCACCGAATGAACACCGCAGTCGTAAACAAGGTACTTAATATTCCAATAGATGCAAATATCAATGGTACCAGTGCCCATGGGCTGGACCATGGAATCACTTCAGCAGTGAGTTTGATGCAACTCGTCATTGTTTCATCTGGGGCATATCCTGAACTGCATCTGGGGCAAGTGTCGTTGAACACGTATGCGTCTTCTGGACACGCTATACAACTCCAACAACATGGCTCCTAAAAGTGTCATCAAAAATGTAAAATCACACATATAACTAGTCTGACTTCCATAGAGAAACTATGGCAACTAAAAGAGAGGGGTTTGCTTAGGAGTCCATAGAATTTGATATGGGGATTTCAGAGTTTTGGAAATCTAGTGACTTGGCGAAATAATCTTTGGGATACTTGCCTGAAAGCTACGAACGTGTCCCAAGGGGCAATTATCGCTGCACAAACTTCGGGGAATGTGTATTTCGCCGATACCTCCTGCCCATTTTGTCATATTAATATCGAGCGATAGTCTAAGAGAGAACAGATTCAAAATTATACCTTGGCAAAGAAAATGCATGAAGTTGGACTGTTTAGGTCACGTGAATTTTTTACTGTAAATTTACACAAATTTTTTTTAAGGGAAGTAATTTTCGGGCGACCACTTTTATAAAATTATCAGGTTACATTACCAAATTTTTTAAACATTTTTAAGACGTTAACACGTTAATAATAACAAATATAAGTGGATACCTCCTTCGATATTCTCTTTTTGAACCATGGTTTCAAATTATTTTTACTTTTACTTTTCTAACATGATTGCGTATCTCAGTGAGCTCATATCTGGATAACCCATTTATTCAAATATTATTTATGTTAAAATAACCAAACACTTACTCCTCCTTCCATGTACCGATCAGAACATAATCAAAACTTCCATCTTCGTTCCTCTGATATTGGTAAATGTTGTAAAATCCATAGGCATCACCATCGGATTTAAATTTAATTTCGGTGCCCTGACGTCCTGAACATTGTTTAGATAAAACGTACATTAATGAATCGTTTTTGATAATTATTTACATACTTTGAGTGAACGCTAGAATCAGGGATAAAACCCGTTGCTTACCGATAAAACTGACGTTACGAATATGGCGAAGGAGTTCTTGTCCATCAGGTGCTGGACGAAGTTTTTCGCACAAATAATGCGGTGTTCCATCGTACATGCATTCTTCAATTAAATTATGAACACCATGTGCCATTGCATAAACAGCATCAACTGAAGTCGATCAAACATTCTAATTTAATATTCATTTTTGTAACTGACAGAGGTAATACATTTCACAACTTTTACATCAAAAACTGAAGACGCCTTTTCTACTCGGTCGAAGCATTTCAGTTTCATCAAGTTTTATTAAATTTTACATTTGTCGGAATAAATACGATTTTAAAAGGGGAAAGCGGTAATGGCGGTCACTTGAGCAATTAATCTAATAAAAATAAAGCATCAAACCAAATATTGGTTACAAGTTACCGTTTCCAAGTTTGAACCGTTGAACCGTTTCGGAATAACAAGATAAACACTTTGGTATTTATTTTTTTGGCGAAATTAGCAATTAAACGAAAATTGCGTTGACTGCCATTTTACGCACTGGCAGATAATGGTGGTCGCGTTGCGTTTAGAGCCCCAAACAATTTTTACGCATAAAACTATCGACTGAATCCCATCAATTGTATTTTGATCGTACCCATAATGGACTATTAATGAGATCTGATCCATATTTCATAGTCTTGGTCAAATTTATGAAAGATAACGCACGTGTTCATCGCCCATACCGCCATCTTGGTCGTAAAAAATTATGAACGCCATACAAAATGAACTACTTCGACACATCGGTATTCGGTAACTAAACGTATTTCATAAAAAAGCACGTGCAGGTAATGGAGGTTAGGCGACCATTAGCCGAACATGCATTAGCCGATAAAATTAAACGTCGAATATTTAAACGAATTTCGTTCAAATTTATTACGATTCTTTTTCTCTATACCGTAATTGCATTGAAACAAAATTAAATTATAAAAAACGCTTCACAGTTATTATTTGCACCTTAGGATGTGCACGCTGACCACAGTGGCGTGTAAAATCAGAAAACGCGTTTATTTTCGAATACGTAGCAGAGAGTTAGGTAAATTATTTGATGGACACAACGGAAAGATTTGTGAAATATAAGTAATAAAATTGCATGAGGTAAATATCTTCTAGAGACCACCATTGCTTCATTTTCACTTATGTTAGAAAATTGTGGACCATAAACGTCACTTACCTACGAATGGCACCAATCCTTCTTGCTCGTAATCGATTAACTCTTCAGTCCCGGTACATGGCTTCGTAGCTGTCGATGAATTTGCAGCGAAACTGCATTTATGGTGTTGCGACCAAAATTCACGAAACCATAGATTTCGACAATTCACAGTTTTATTAGATTGCTGATCATGCGATATAACATTTCTTTCACTTTGCCCTTGGCATTCTTCACCCATTCGTGGACGAAGATTTAAATAATAATTATCGAAACCTGCGCATAAAAATTACTTTTATCTTATTTACATCGGTCAAATTTTTATTTCACTTTTATACACGATGTTTCATAAATCCTATAATAAATTTTACATGAAAAAATAAATTGAAAATGTAGATTAAAATTCTGTAGTTTCGAAGAAAATTAAATTTGAATTTGTTTGTGCATATATCGTTATTTTTACCACAGTTATGCATACAGTGTGTTTCATAAATAGTATAACTGAGTAGGAGGTGAAAATTAATTTAAAAATGTAGAACTCAGTTTTAATTATCCTAAATTCTTACGTTACGTATCTCATATTTTACTTTTGAAATGAATTTAATTCTGCGGTTTTCTTTCGGGTTTTTTAACCCGTTGCATCTTTGTGAACGTATCTGAATACAGTTGGCCGTAGCAATTTAATTAGTCTAAAGACTCAGTTAAATAGATATATGTTACCGACCTTCAAGAGATATTCTGTACGGTAAAATTGTGATTGCTCCTTCGGCTGCGAATTCTTGATCTTTCACTGGATATACTTTGGCACCCCAAGAATCGCTGCCTATCCACATGAAATGACCTGTACGGTTAGCTTTAACGGTTGCTTGAAGAAGTCTTCTGAAAACGCAAACATAACAGTAGGTTTTGCATCTGAACTCATAGGCGTAGCTAGAGGGTAACTATTATAGTTGCACTTAACCCCCTTACTGGGGAAAGAAGTAGTTTTTACCCCCACTTTAGAGAAGTTATATTTTACTTTTTCTCAAAGGAAAAATCAGTTAGACTATGACATAATATAATAGTTAAATTGCGATATTTTTGCAATATTATAAATATTTGAGTAGGTTTAAATAATGTTTCAAAGAGAGGATACATTAATTAAGAGATATTTAAATTTTTTTTTTAATTATGGGTTTGAGGCAACTTCTAATTACACTATGTGATAAAACCGATTTGTTTACAATTTTAATACAACTGTAATATAGTTTTATTTTTCAAAACTGTTTAGAATGTTAAAAAAGTAAATATAGAAAATTTGGTGAACAATGATAAAAAATAGGAATTTGTTTTATATTTAAAAAATGTATACAAAAGAAAATAATATAATATTGCCCGTTTGAAACATTTTAAATACACATAAGAAAAGTTTAGTTACTTAAATTTAATAGCATAACAAATTTTAACTATTTAAATTTAGTAGCATAACAAAAGCTTAATTACTTAAATTTCATAACATTACAAACGTTTAATTACTTAAATTTAATAGTAGAACATGTATGTAATTATTATTTAAATTCAATTAAAAAGTCTTCTAATTACAAATAGCATAAGCTATGTTTTAAATAATTTCATTAATTATTTATAAAAGCTACAATATATCGATGTTCAACGTAGCATAATAATTTAATAGTATTTTGCAATACAAAAAGAACTAAAATTCTTGTGTATGACTGACATAGTTTATATTAAGGTATTGCACTTTTTGTATTTTGTTGTATCCTTTGTTCAGTGATTGCATTAAACGGTTATCGTGAAATACCCTGTATACTGTCGATACTTATTAATATTTATTGACAAACTGCATTGATCCACCCGTTCAATATTTATCGACAACACATTTATTATAGTTTCGCGACAGCGTTCAATGAAGTTTAATAAAAAAAAGGCGAAAGAAGAGATATCTTGGTTTCAATCGGATCACCCTGTCAATACTTAAATATTGACAATATATCAGTATCTTCTCTCACACGATCAATAATAGTACTGACAAAATATATTGATTGTCTGAGGTCTCCTGGGTATTCTCTTGTCAGACGTGAGTGATATGGTCCTGAGAATGTTACAGTTATTGAAGGGAATTCATTGATGTCACGAGAACAATTTCGATTACTTCTGACAGCGCGTTTAGGGGAACAATTCTCGATTCTATTTCTGCAGGCAGCAATTGCACCTTTCAAGCATTCACACATATTCACTGAAAATTATTAAATGCAAAAATAAAATTGAAATTGAAATATGTGTATTAGAGCTCGAAAAATTTTAACTTCAATCTCACTTCTAAAAAGTTAGTATATGAGATAAAAAATCCTTTCAAAGTTTGAAATAAAAAATTTGAGTTTAAGAAGTTGTTCAAGGCAATAACAGCGAGTGAAATTTGTTTTAAATTTTACATTTATTAATTCTGTTGCAGAAAGTAAATTTTAGTCGCTTGTGCCTTGTAATACTACTCAAGTATTTGGACGCTTTTGTATTTAAAATAATTTGTATTTAAAATAGGTCTCTATTGCAAAGCCTCTACTATAGCACGCATGCGCACAAAGCTATTACTGCGCGCATGCGCACAAAGCCTCTACCACTGTTGCCGCCATATTGGATTGTCGGCTTCACTAGCGACGCTCATAAACTGAAATAATATGATTATACAACACTAATCCATTATCTTAACCATCTTTCTTAACTTGACTCAAATTTTAATATAAATAAAGTTGTTATAAACCTCCCAACACATAATTTTAGATATAAACACTAAATTACCGCATAATTATAAAAATGAGGTTATAAAGAACCTTAATTCTATAACATAATGATACGAGTAATAACTTCGATAAAATAAAAAGAGGAATATAATACAAAGTATAGAATTAAACATAAAGAAAAGAATTTAGGTTAGGTATTGTTATTTAAAGAAAAATTGAGAATCACTGTTTCGTATATATAGTGGGGTGTAATATATCTTACGGATTCGATAGTATCGAATCAACCCCTGACACTTTCGGTAAAAGGACCCGGATAACATTGGACCGGTCTACGAAGTTTGAAGGGTTGATTAATGGTTTTCTTGAAAAGGTTGTATAAAAGAAGTTCGGAGGAAGATCAATTATTACCTTATGTTATCTTCATCGACGAATAGAACAACGCCTCTAGCATTGTGTTTCGAGCTCAGCCGATCTACGATTCTTTTAAAATCCTCCGATTTGGCGTTTCTTAAAATTTTCTCGCTGACTGCGATACAGATACCATATTCCATAGATAGTGCTGTAAAACTTGCAATTCCCTAGAAAATATTTGGGTAGAAATAATAACACTGATGATAATTACATATTTAAGTTGTAAGGAATAACAAATTTTGTTGGTAATCAAATTTTAAAATCCGGAAACCTTCAAATTTATTTTCCAAATTTCAAAATTCCCAAGTTTTAGAATTTTTAAATTTGAAAATCTTTGAGCCTTAAAATTCCTCAAATCTATTTTCCAAATTTCAAAATTCCCAAATTTTAGAATTTTCAAATTTCAAAATCTCTAAGCCTTCAAATTCCTCAAATATATTTTCCAAATATTAAAATTCTCAAGTTTAAGAATTTTCAAATTTCAAAATTCCTAAGCCTTCAAATTCTTCAAATATATTTTCCAAATTTTAAAATTCCCAAACTTTAGAATTATCAAATTCTCAAATATCTAAATTTCTAAAATAATGCCACCTTATTTTTAAGTTAAAAAATATTTGAACCCCAAAGCCCTAAATTTCCAGCTTTTTAAATGACCAAATTTTTAATTGTAAAAATCGCGTTGGTCAACGGATTATCTGGCCTTACGCTAAGGCGTTAAAATCCATTATCCCAGATTTTTAAAACGTGAAAGAGGACGATAATGAAGGGAACGCTAGAATAACCTATGAAAAATGATATTTTTTGTTCGCTCGAGGAGCGTATAAATTTAATTACCTTTTCTCCGTAATCACCCTCTACCGCTACAGTGGATACATACTTCCAGCCGAGTTGATGAATGATTTCCACCATGGCTTGAGCTTGAAAATTATCTGGCGGTACCACTCTACTGAAATATTCGAAGCGACTTTTATCCGATAGTTCTGTGCTCGTTGACGCGTAGCTTATTTGTGGTATCTGCAGTCAGAATAATTATTAAGTCTAAAGATGCAACGAATCAACACTTAATCGACTTGGGAGGCCTCATGTGGCGAAGTACGAGAAACACTGTCGATCCTCGTCTCCCTAGCGTTGCTCCACGGTAGAGAGACAAGAATAGCAACAATTTTACCGACGCAAGATTTTCAAGCAACGAAACTTTTTCTCGTATTTTCCTCTTTAAAATATTCCTCGTATTCTTACGATTTGACTCTTAAACTTTTATTAAAAATAAGAATATATTTTTATAACATATCGACAGCTAAATTGTTCAATCGAATTACGTGACAATCCCGCGTAATTATACGATGAATACTTCGGAAAAGAAAGTGCAAGAGATCTCGCAGGAGAGATGAGAAACCGAAGCTTCTCAGCTTCGCCACCAGATGTCCCTCATTCGGAACACTTAAATACATAAAACTTTCCCGGAGAAATTAACACATTAAATTATTAAAAAAATTGTCTATTACATGTTTTCATAGGATTTAAATATATAGCATTTCATTTAAAAAGGTCACCTTCTCGAAAAATAATGCAAGAATAAAAAATTAATATATGTCCTCGCGTCAGAGAAATATATTCAAATATTTTCCTCTTCCATTTTTTTTTCTTACCACAAAAACCACTAGATAATAAATGTGTGAACGCTTTGTATGTTCTAAATGTTCCATGTAAAAAAAATATCGTTCAGGTTGTCGGAACTCGGAAATTAATTAATTTGTATTTCGCGCCTATATGTACCGATTTTGTTTTACTTTCGCGCCCCCTGCAACGTTCGCGTGTTCCCTTCTCTTCCGGTTTCCTGTTCCTCGATGAAATTGTTACGCGACGTCACGCGTCAACGTGCTCGTGCGAAGTGTGTGTATTGTATTTTATATTAAACTCTTTTCCAACATATTTTTTTATTTAATCGCGTATGTGTTTCGTTAGATTCCCTGTGAATTCTGACATAGATCGTTTCCATGAATATTTCAGTTTCGATATTGACGGTGTACCAATCTTTTTGTCATACACCATATAATAACTGTGTGCAAAGTGTATGCATCGAAATAGAAGGCGTTGGAGAAACGAGGTTAGAATAAAATTAAATTCTCTTCTGCATATTTTTACACTCTTTAATGTTTCACATACGGAATCGTGTTTGATATTTATGACATGCATCGTACAAAATCATACGTAAAAGGTTGGTACACTTCTTTGAACCGCCACAGCTTTCAATCGGAAGTTCTTTTTAAAGATACGTACGTTTTATACGACATTTGAAGATATATGTATTATTTATGTTCCATACGTGTATTATACGAGCATTGAACATTTATTTATTTCACTGTGTAATATGAAACATGTAACTGTATATTCTCGAAATTTTTATCTTCCACAATTTTAATTTTAATCTTCCACAAAATGGAAGATCTTTATTGTGAAGCATTAATTACAGTAAAATTGATTGGACAGGATTTTTAAATTTAACATTGTTTAACATTTATTTGGATTAAAATACCATAGTATAAATCACATTGTAGGAGCGTTTCAGTATAAATATAATCGAGATACGATTATAATTATATTTAGTAGCTGGCAACGGTGAATTATGTATTAAAGAAATATATATGTTCAAAGTTCAAAGTAGTTATATTTTTATTCTCGGAACCTGACCTACTACAATATCATATTAATTTTAGTATTAAATTCTTTTTGTCAATAAAACAAAATTTAATTAATTCGTGAAAGTTGTTTTAATGCAACTTACATAACCTGAAAAATATTTTACTATAATTTGAATTATGATATATGCAATATGTTTTTGCATATATTATATATGCATATGCTTTAAAAAGAAAAACATAGAAAAGCTTTTTTTGCGTCGTATTTCTTGATTTAAGTAGAAAGAATGTTTCAAATACTAACCTTGAAAAGTCTCAGAATATTTGCAACCATAATGGAGACCACGCTGAAGGAAGCTCCTATAACGCCAGTCACAGGTTTGTGAGGCACATATATCGGAGGTTTCTCGTTTTCACATTTGTATTCCGTTATATCCTGTGAATCAATGAAAAAATCATACGTGCATGTTATTCTTTATTTATAAAGCTCCTGGTACTTTACCGCTCTAAGCTTTCTGCATACTGTGCACATTATTTTATCCGTATTAATGCATCGAATACAAATGTCGTATCCGTTTTAAATAAATAAACACGACAGGTTTCTGGATTTTTACATTTTCAAATTTCGAAATTTTTATATTTCTAACTTTGCGATTTACAAATTATTTAATTCTTAAGTTTTTACATTTTCAAATTTCTATTTCCTAAATTTCCAAATTTTGCAATTTTTAGATTTCCAATTTGTAGTTTCTGGAATTGTTATAAATTAATTATTCAAATTTTCAAAATATTAAAGCTTTATATTTCCAAATTCTTAAAACATCACAATTTTATATTTCTAAGTTTCTGAATCTAAATATTTATATTACTAAACGTTTAGATATTCTAAATAAAAAATTCTTAATTTAAAAAATTCTCAAATATCAAAGTTACTAAATTCCAAACTTTTCAAATATCAAAACTCATAAATTTCAAAACTCTCAACTTCCAAAATTCTCAAATGTTAAAATACTCAATTCTAATATTCTGAAATTTCAAAACTTTCAAAAGTCAAAATTGACAAATTCCAAAATTCTAAAAAATCAAATTTACCAAATTTCAAACCTTTCAATTTCAAAAATTCTCAAATTCCAATATTTTGAAATTTCAAAACTCTTAAAAATCAAAATTACCAAATTTCAAACCTCTTAATTTCAAAAACTCTCAAATTCCAAAATAGCCAAATTCCTATATTCTTAAATTTTAAAACTCTTCAACAATCAAATTCAAAAATTCTTAAATTTCCAAATTTCAAAATACCAAAATTACTAAAGATCTTTTTAAAACTCTCAAATTTCCAACTTCCCCCACCCCACCTTATTCAAACAAGCTCCTATAAAATTTTGCAGACCTCTCATAACCTCGTGAATATTATTCTCCACAAATTCTTGTCAATACTAAAAAATACGAAGCAACAAACTGCTATGTATCTATACCTCTCGGTAACATTCCAATTTTCCTCAGTCTGACGAGGCACTTAATAAAAGACGTAAGGACTTTTTACCGGTAAATGCATAGAGAATTGACGAGAGTGCACTCGACATAAGCACGTTGTACTTAATCATTGAATAAAAGTGTTTTTGTACAGCATGGCATGTACGTATGTACTTTCAACGTCAACAACAGTCGGGTAATGTCTCAGAAAGTTACCGAACTACGTTATGGAGGGTATACTTTATTAACGGCAATGCTACGGAAGGAAAACGAGTACCCTCTCATCGAAGTAGGTTAACGTGTTCGGCGGTTACATTTCACTTTGTTCGCAGCACCGTAAATAATTACATTTTTTAAACATACACGGGGGACCGACTATTATAATCGCGGATAACGTTATCAATCCGATATTGTTCGCATAATTATTTGGTTCGCACAGGATGAAAAATATGAAATGGGATATTTAGGAATTTGGGAATTGATGCGCTTGGAGGAGGAAATAGAGAAGTGTGGAAATTTCAGAATTTAGCAATTTAAACATTTGAAAATATATTCGATATTTTAGAATAAAAAGTTTAGGGATTGGGACGTTTATGGATGATCAGAACTTGTGAATTTGGGTTTGAAAGCTTTGTAATATGGCATTCTACAATTTGAGTATTTAGTAATTTTGAAATTTAAGAATTTTTTTATTTGAGAAGTTTTTGAATTTGAGAATTTCGGAATTTGGCAATTTTGATTTTTGAGAGTTTTGAAATTTGAGAATACTAGAATTTGGCTGTTCTTGAGTTTGAGAATTTTGGGATTTGGACATTTTGGAATTTGAGAATTTTTGAGATTGAGAATTTGGTATTTTGATTTTTGAGTGTTTTGAAATTTGGAAATACCGGAATTTTGACAATTTTGGCATTTGAAGATTTTGGAATTTGGCAATTTTGATTTTTGAGAGATTTGAAATTTGAGAATACTAGAATTTGGCTGTTTTTGTGTTTGAGAATTTTGGGATTTGGGCATTTTAGAAGTTGGCAATTTTGGGATTTGAGAATTTGGTAATTTTGCTTTTTGAGTGTTTTGAAATTCCGAAATACTGGAATCTGACAAATTTGGTATTTTGAGGATTTTGGAATTTAAGGATTTTGGAACTTGAGAATTTTGGGATTTGGGAATTTGAGAATTTTGGAAACTGAAAATTTTGGAATTTGACAATTTTGCAATTTAAGAATTTTGGAATTTAGAAATTTAGGAGTTTGAAAATTTCGAAATTTGAGAATTTGTAAGGAATGCAATTTTTCAATTTCAATAATTAAAAATTCTCAAATTTTCAAACTTCGAAATTCCCAAACTGTAGTATTTCTAAATTTCAAAATTACTATTTCTAATTTCTAAATTTTCCATTTTTCAAGTTTCAATACTACCAACTTCCTAAACTTCGAAATCGCTTTCCAAATTATTCATATTTATTAAAAAAGTCTTTTAAAGACTACCAAATAACTTTCCTAATTATTTAATCTCTTAATACTTAGTCACTAATGATTGCTCGATAATATTCAAAGATTAACCTCACAGGTAGGACGTGCCATTATAGTGGCTTTCGCAAATACCATTTCTACACGACGGTCCACTATAGTGGCTTTCGCGAATATCGTAGATTACATAGCGCTAAAGTGGCTCCCTCTACTGTCTCACTCTCTCACCGTTTCAATGGAATGATCGATTTCACATATTTTAATTCGCACTTTTTTTCACCATGTTTTATAAGAGTATTAACAAATCCAAAAGTACATTACATGTAAATAAAAGGTAACGCCAAGTTTATGCACTATGTAGCACCTCTTTGCACTAATACGATATTGCAAACATTTACAAATTACATATTTTGTGAATTTTCTAAAAAAGTAATTTATCAAAGTTAAAGTATACATATCATATCTTTTGGAAAAATTATAATCAATCATCAAAAGCGTCGTTTCAATATACTCGTTAGGAGAACAGCATTGTCACACATTGTAGATCTGTTTACGCGTAATTCGCGTCAAACTTTGCCGTACAGAGAAGCACCGCGTAAAGTTCAGCGGTGCCTAAGATGTTAATCACTCTTGTGGCACATTCTGTGAAAGACCGATTAATACAAAGTAGGAAAGGAAGAAGTGTGTTTACCTGATTCATATAAGATCTTACGAACTCCATGCTTTGATCAAGGGCGTAGGTGTCGCTGCTACAGGAATCCAAAATAAGAGCACCCAAAGTGGTGTTTGGTAACAAATCGTTGTCTGAATTGATCTCATCGATGGCATATAGCATGGCCTCCAAACGTTGCATTCCTTTTTCTTCTTTCACAGCACCACATGGTGACTGACCGATCGAACCTGACACCTATGCATAAAAATATGACTATCTATGAATAAAATACATGTATTATAGGCTTACGAGATGTTATGATAATCGTATTTGCATGTAGTACAAATATGGGATAATGGAGACGTCGACAATGATAATTGATGCTATTATTAAAAAACAGAATATACGGAAAAAGTACAGCAGTGGTCTATCACGAAACAAAATACCTTATGCAATTATTACTTATATTTCACAAATTTTTCAGTTGTGTCCATCAATTAATCTACTTAACTCTCTGCTATGTATTCGAAAATAAACGCGTTTTCTAAGGTGCAAATAATAACTGTGAAGCGTTTTTTATAATTTAATTTTGTTTCAATGCAATTACAGTATAGAGAAAAAGAATCGTAATAAATTTGAACGAAATTCGTTTAAATATTCGACGTTTAATTTTATCGGCTAATGCATGTTCGGCCAATAGTCGCCTAACCTCCATTACCTGCACGTGCTTTTTTATGCAATACATTTAGTTACCGAATACCGATGTGTCGAAGTAGTTCATTTTGTATGGCGTTCATAATTTTTTACGACCAAGATGGCGGTATGGACGATGAACACGTGCGTTATCTTTCATAAATTTGACCAAAACCATGAAATATGGATCAGATCTCATTAATAGCCCATTATGGGTTCGATCAAAATACAATTGATGGAATTCAGTAGATGATTTTATACGTAAAAATTGTTTGGGGTTCTAAACGCAACGCGACCGCCATTATCTGCCAGTGCGTAAAATGGCGGTCAACGCAATTTTCGTTTAATTGCTAATTTCACCAAAAAAATAAATACCAAAGTGTTTATCTTGTTATTCCGAAACGGTTCAACGGTTCAAACTTGGAAACTTGGAAACGGTAACCTGTGACCAATACTTGGTTTGATGCTTTATTTTTATTAGATTAATTGCTCAAGTGACCGCCATTACCGCTTTCCCCTTTTAAAATCGTATTTATTCCGACAAATGTAAAATTTGATAAAATTTGATGAAACTGAAATGCTTCAACCGAGTAGAAAAAGCGTCCTCAGTTTTTGATGTAAAATTATCAGTTGTGGAATGTACTATCTTATTAGTGATTATAATTATCATCACAAATATAAAAAACATTAATTATCACGAATATAAAAATAAGTAAAATTAATTTTCAAAATTACAAGTTATAATTCTAAATGCGTCATAATAAACTTCATACTGATTTTCAAACTCCACATTTATGATCGAGTCAATATTTCCACGAAAAGTTTTTGATTAATCTGTCTACCAACGTTAAAAATGCAGACATAGCAAAAACGTATGTATAAAAGGAGATAAATGATGAAACTTTTTTTCAGAACGTTGATCAGTGCATTCGTACTGTTTTGAAATTCATCATACGTTATATTCTTTTCGTTCTTTAAACAGCGCAACTTTTACCGTTATCAGTTTTCCGTATTTTCTGCTACAACAAAGCTATTCCGGTGTTTTGTTTCAAATATTCCTCTCTGTACATTTCTAGAACAGTTTCTCGTGTAGCCGCATCCGAAAAAGTAGTTTTATGAAAACAGTGCTGTCACTAGAGTTAGTAGAATCCGCGCCAAAATTTTTGATATATAGTACATTTTGTACGTGATTGAAATAAAGTCTGAGATTGTAGAAAAATTGCAAAAGAAAGGTTATAGTTAATTTTATTAATACTAAAAATTATTTTTAGTAAACTCTCAAATTTAAAAATTTTCAAATTCCTAAATTTTCAAGTTTCCAAATTTCCAAATTTCTAAATTTTTAAATTTTCAAATTCCTAAATTTTCAAGTTTCCAAATTTCCAAATTTTTAAATTTTCAAATTCCTAAATTTTCAAGTTTTCAAATTTCTAAGTTTCTAAATTTTCAGGCTTTGAAATTTCTAAATTTTCAAGTTTCCAAATTTCTAAATTTTCAAGTTTCCAAATTTCTAAATTTCTAAATTTTCAGGATTCCAAATTTCTAAATTTCCAAATTCCTAAATTTTCAATTTTCCAAATTTCTAAATTTCTAAATTTTCAGGCTTTCAAATTTCTAAATTTCCAAATTTTTAAATTTCTAATTTTTCAAATTCCAAATTCCCTAGATTTCAAGATTCCCCAAATTCCGAAATTCCCCAAATTGTCAAATTTCCAAATTCCTAAATATCCAGATTTCTAAATTTTCAAATTCCATTAAGTTTCCAAATTTCTTAATTTTCAAGTTTCCAAATATCCAAATTTTCAAGTTTCCAAATTTCTAAATTTCTAAATTTTCAGGTTTTCAAATTTCTACATTTTCAGGCTTTCAAATTTCTAAATTTTCAATTTTCCAAATTTCTATATTTTGAAGTTTCCAAATTCCTAAATTCCTAAATTTTTAGGAATTTTTATTCCTAAATTTTTAAATTTTCAATTCCCCATATTCTTAAATTTCCAAAACCTAAAATTTTGCACCCTCTAAAATAAATAAAGAAGACCCTATTAATGAGTGCCCAGGACACCCCACGGAAGAACCCTAGTTACGTCAGTGGACCCGAAAATCTTGCTCCCGCTTGTGTACTCCCCGGAATCTATTGAATTTCAAAAATAGGATAAGCAGATTCGTCGGTCACAAAAAAGACGCGACAGTTGTTAGAAATCACGGAATATCGAAGTTTCAAAGAAAAAGCTTTATCGAATCAAGATGAAAAGCCGCTCAGTGACCAGAGAGAAGTAATCGATTCAGTGTCCGCGGACGAAATGACAAATTACCCCTGGAGCTGGATCAATATCAGACACTAGTGAACCTTAACCGTTTTATAGTGAAGTTTGATCCCTCAAAGGGAAGGAGGAATTAATTTTTCAATTTATAACTCTTATATCATTACTCGTCGTTAAACGAGCATTGTACAGTATTCCATTCAAGCATTTCGAATATCTTTATTTTTTATAACATAAAAACATTATTTTGTTCGAAGAGACGTTGTTAAATTTTTTGGGATTCCAAGATTTCTTAAATAGAACAACTTAATAGTTAAGAGCGAGACGAATTCAACGACCTATAATACTATGACCTTTATGTGACCTTGACGTGATGAAAAATTCGTGGAAAATAGACAACTGATACGGAGTGAACTGGGAGAAAGATTAATGGTAGAAATTTTATTATAGTCCGAGGTACAACGCTGCATGAAGGTGTTAAGATACAGAGTTTAAAACACCAATATTTCGCGCCATATCTCGCATTGATAACAGGAAGCAAAATGTTAAAAAACAGAACACGTGAAATAAAATCAATAATAAAAAGTATGAGAGAGTTAAAAAAATAATTAAAGTACAATTCTTTTTATGTCTAATAACAAAAAATGTACATGATTTTGATTTAAATATTTTTTCAAATAGTATTTAAACGTGTTCGCTAATTGAAGTTTTTTATAGTGCGCATAATTTTTAGTAGAAACTGTTATAAAAATAATTGGCGACGAATGTCGGTCAATTTCTGGAAAATTCTATACACGATGTACGGACTCGGTCATATATCTGTGCATTGTAGATACAGTTTATTATTGAGTTTGGAATATAACATACAATATTTATTTAAGGATGAATTATTTGACATATTAAAGAAATACTTGCATAGAGCCGCAGTACGTGTAACAATTCGAAACACAGAAATCCACTTGACAGTGACACAAAGTAGAGGAAACGATGTGAACATAGTGGCAAACTAGTGAAGTGCCACTAGTCGACGATTTCGAAACTAACGACGTTTTACGAACGCATAAATCGGCTTTCTAACAACTGTATACCTCAATGGACAGAAAGAATAAACGTTGGTATTATGTTAGTAGAAGGCAGCGGAAACGTTAAACTACATAATTCCTTTGGCCGCGATAAAAGCACCGGACTCACTGATTGTCTTTGTTTCTTTTCTTCGAGAATAAGGTACAGATTTTTAAGCTGCTTCGATGTTAAGACGAGTGCTACCAATTCTTTTATCTCCGAAGAAAAATATTGCCCGAGGGGTAGGATCTCATAAAGCTACGAGGAAACGCAACGAACAGGTAAGTACGTTCTTTTAGCTTCGGTTATGTAGCTTGCCTTTCTATAATAAATTAGAAAAAATTCCTGATAAAGCGAAACCTTTTATTCTGACTCGGTAAATTATACTCGGGCAATTTATTAAAAATGTGCGACTGACTTTAATTAATTTAACAGTTATTGATACTTGTATAAGGTATAATATACATATAACACGCTTGTAAGTTACGTGTTAACGTATAAATCTCGTTAATGGAATAAAAGGCGGATGCGGATGTGAGGTTATGTTTCGTATGTTTCGGATCTGAGCGGTTATAGTTTCTTTATTATAGGATTATAATTTAAAATGGCGAACGAATGAAATTTTAAATAATTGTATTTTATTGTGAGAAAAAAAGATAATTTACAAATTTGATAATTTAGGAATGAAAACTAAGACATTCAGAAATTTAATAATTTAGACATTTAGAACTGTACTAAAAATTAAAAAATTAAAATTAAGAAGAGAAATTTAGTTTGAAAATTTTATAATTCGATAGCAGGAAAAATTAAGAATGACAAAATTTAAATATAGGAAAGTATAATTTTAAATTGTGAAACCGAAAAATTCATGATGGTGATTGAAATAGAAATATGTCAAGCGTAGGAATAAGAGTGTCGTTTATTTCGATAGAGTTTCCTACGTATAAAGGAAATGATACTACCTTCGTTTTTCAAAAATATTACTGTTATTTTTCGAAATACGAGAAAATATCGTCGATAAAAGCCGGATGATATCGAGACGGGACAGGATGTGTCAATAATATCGTTTTTATAGTCGAAGACATATCTAAAATTTCGTTGTGGGTTTTTTAAGGTTATTGAAAACAATGTAACAACATTGTTGGAGATATCGTTTATTTTGATAAATATATTCATTGAATTATTTACATGTTTATTTTTTAAATAGATTATTAAATTTTTTTAAAGAAATTACTTATATTTAAAATTAATTATTCAACCCGTTTTTGAGTTTACTTTAAGCAACAATTAAATTGATATTGTTAAATTGAATGATTTACTTGAAAATTAAGAACTAATTTTTAATTTACATTTGTTAAACTGAATATTGAAATTTATATCTTATTCAAAATTTTCTCACTAATTATTTTTTCAAATTAAATTACTAATATTTAAAATTTAACGTTCAGCTCATCCTTGGATTTACTTTAAGCAACAATTAAATTATTACTATTAATATAACGGTTATTTATTTAAAAATTAGGATTTAATTTTTAATTTAAATTTATGAAACGATAAATTGAAATTTTTTCAATAAATAGTTAATATTCAATTGTCAATTGCAGTTTCTACTAATTAGCAACAAAAATTTAATTTTTATTTAAAATTGTTTTAATGGAATTTTCTACGTGAAAGGGTTTAAGGGAAGTGTTATAATCTCAAAGATGATTCAATAACGTGAATATGTTAATATTAGAAATAGGTCATCAGCAGGATTAAAAAGAGGAAAGTGTGAAATCGTGACAGACATAATTACAGGGACGATAATATTCTATAAAAATTCCAATTTAATTGATAATTAAAATCCAGTTCATAATTAAGAAATTAAATTTTAATTCTCTATCGAGAATGTTGTAATTACCATAATCCTTAATTAGAAATCGAATCGTAATTACCAGTTCGAAGAAATTGAATTCAGAATTAAAATTATTTTCTGCTTTTACGAGATTTAATAAATCTTCCATTAGGGACGATAGAAGTAAAAATGAAATTTTTATGCTAATTACAAAAAGTAGCAATTAACGTCTGAATGTTGCTTCTTTAAGTAGCAATAACTTTCCATATTTAATTTGGCAAGTTTGAGCTGAAAATGAACTCCTAATATTTAACTGAAAACATATTCAATTAATAGGTACAAGTTACTTTTTAATTAGAAAAAATTTAATCATGTATCCGTTAATTACTGACCGACTGAAATAAAAATTTAATTAAGGTATGGACATGTCAGAAAATTATTTCCAGTACATTGATTACTTCAACACTTATTTTATTTTTATTTTTTTAACGTAATTTTATTTTATTAATTTAATTTAATTTTATCAGACAAATCTTAGGATCTCAAGTTTTTAAATAAACTAAAAATATTGCAAGAAGTTTATAATGTTTACAAAAGTATTTAATGTAAATAGAATTTTTATAACTAATATAATTAAAGTAGAAATTAAAGAAAATATTCTTGTAACATTTGTAAATAAATATTTATCATTATCATATGCTTAAAAATTAAATAACAATCTATGTAAAGACAAAATTAAACCTAAGTGTAATTAAACATCTCTGCAATATTTCAGAATATAAACAATACAAGTTTAAATAAATTGTACTTATTTAATTTTGTTGATTTCAATACTGAGTTTTTAATAAAAATTTATTTTGTAAAGAACAAACAAAAAAACCCAGTACAAATTATTTCAAAAAACAATGAAAAAATCAATTTTTAATAAAAAAGAATGCATAGCAGTAGTATCAATATGTGCTTAAAAATATGAATATAAAATCTATGGCTTTTTTAATTTCATAACGTCGACATTATTCGGTACATTGTTGCGGTTTTCAATTGATACAGTTTAAAAATTTAAAATGTATTAACATTTGTTTCCATAATTAAAATATCTCTGATCTTTTTCCAAATTTTTATGGGAATTAAATGGGGGAGATACTGAAAAATTAAATATTAAATTTTTTTTCAGTTTTGAAATTGGTCAGGTATGCATTTTTTAATATAATTTTGTACTTACATAACTTTACAATGTCATACTTTTATAATTTTATAATTTTGCAATTTTGTAATTTTATACTTTTATACCTTTACAATTTCATACTTTTATAATTTTGCTATTTTGTAATTTCGTAACTTTATACTTTTATAACTTTACAATTTCATGCTTCTTTAATTTTATAATTTTGTAGTTTTACAATTCAGCAATTTTGCAATTTTTTTGTTTTATGATATTATACTTTTATAATTTCACATTGTTTTTACATAAATACCAAAAATCTTTTTCAGGATTCTTCGCATGTCTGAAAGAATTTACTAGAATGTTCGATGAAAATTTACCTGCTCATGCATAGGGAAAATTCCACCGAGGATTATGTCACCGTCAATGCGAATTAGCTTCGAGCCATCTTCGTCGCGTCCCTTTCGATTGTGACACTCGCTTACGACCAAAGAATACGAGATCCATGTTAAAATCTTTCCTACGGTCATCTTGTTCATTGAACTTGTAATTGCTTTCCGCTACCTGAAACACAATTAAAAATAACATTTAAAATTTACGCTAAAAGTGATTCAATAATACCTCATATTTATTTTGAGGTTATTCGATATTTATTAGTGTCAATTTGCAACGCGTGTCTGTACACAAAATGGCGGTGCCGTAGTTTCCTGTTAGCAAATCAGTTACCTCTCTTTTATTATTTTTATATTGCTGAAACATTTTGTAGTACATCGTTATTTTTTTTTATGTAACATGTAGTTAGTAAAATAATTTTTTATTGATAACAAGAATAGATGTTGGTATTTTTTATTAAATTGAAATGGTATTTGTATTTTATTATGGTATTTCTGTATTCCTGTTCATGTGAAGGTTTTGTAATTTTTGTATTTTTATTTCTGTGAAGTTTCTATTATTTTTGTATTTTCATTGGTGTGAAGTTTTTTTTTTATTTTTCTAATTTTATTTTGTGTAAAGCTTTTATTATTTTTTTTTTTTTTTTTGTGAAGTTTCTGTCATTTTTCTACTCTTATTTTGTGTGAAGCTTTTGTTGTTTTTTTAATTCTAATGTGTATAAAGTTTTTATTATTTTTGTATTTTTATTTATGCGAAGTTCCTGTTATTTTTCTAATCTTATTTTATGTATAGTTTTTGTTATTTTTTTTTTTTTTAATGTAATGTGTATAATGTTTTTATTATTTTTCTATTTTTAATCATGTGAAGTTTTTTATATTCTTATAATTTTATTTTGCGTGAAGTTTTTGTTAATTTCTTTTTTTATTCTAATTTGTATAAACTTTTTGTTACCTCATAATTTTAATTTGTGCGAAGTTTTTATTATTTTTTTATTTCAATTTATGTGAAGTTTTTATTATTTTTTTATTTCAATTCATGTGAAGTTTTTATTATTTTTTTATTTGAGTTCATGTGAAGTTTTATTATTTTTTCATTTTAATTCTTCTGAACTTGTTCTTATTTTTTTTACAATTCACATCAAATCCTTTATACTCCTGTTTCATTTTATACAAAGCTTGCTGTTATTTTTGTTTCAGTCATAACAAATTTTTAACTTCAGTTTTTGCGTTCAAAAATCTGCGGACTTCCAAATTTTCTAATTCAGACAGATCGCACTTTTAAATTTTCAATTTTTGCATGTCTAGCGGTTCTGTCGCACAGTCTGAGGTTAATTACATTTTTAAATTTTAACGTTACGCACATGATTTACATTCGTTCGTAAAAACCAGTGGCAAGGAAACGTAAACTTCAGAAACCGTGACATTTACTCGCATGACGTTTCAGCTAAATGTTTGATGTTACCTTCGTAAAGAGAGCAAAGTTTGTACAAACACGAAACGAGAATAGAGTTTCACCCCGATATTCATTTCACGACCACCATTTGCCAGTGAATGTTTTCTACCGGAAAAGGAAATGGAAATTCGTAGTCACACCCTATCGAAAGATGGTTTCGGGTCGCTAAGCGATTCTCTGGTACGACTGAAACCTAAAACGAGGTATTATATCTAACGTTTGAATCTCAAACGTATCGAGTAGCGTTCACTGATTTTGCTTCTAAACGAGATTTAATCATTAAATATACAGGGTGATTCACTTTAAGTGAATCTCACAAACTTTGTTAGACATAGTTGTAACGAAAGTGCTATTAAATTAGAGAGAGTGTGTAATTAGTTAATTTTTATTTTGCGTTTTTATCGAAGTATCAAATTTTTCATTGTAACGGTAAAATTTTATAATGCAGTTGGAAAGTATGTTGAACGACGAGTAAAACGGTATTGGGGTATATGAGGTCAAAAGTTAATAATTAACGAGATATTATTCTGTAACGACTTCGGTACCAGCTGCGTTTTGCAACACGTTTAAAATTAATCTGCTGCGCTCTAACTCGAGTAACTTAGTGTAACTGATGTAATATAACTCTACTAATGTAACTTGAGTTAGCTAACCTAATGCAGAGACAATATAACCTAAGTCGACTAATCTGACCTAACCTCGTTTAGGGTAAATAATGTAATAGTAACTGACATATCAATAACAGTGCAAGTAACTTCTATAATGTAGTTTGATATAACGTAATTTAACCTAATATGTGAGATAATGTATGGAAGCCTGACAACTGCAGTTACATTAATATTCGTACTCTGTATATTCCCATGCTTGTTGTTTTAAGAGAAGTTAATTCAGATATCATATTCCACAGAAAGACGAACCATTCGTTGTAGATTAAAAATACATCAACTTCTTTTTACTATATTTAGTTCAACAAAACATTTTAAACAGAGGAAATCTTATTGTTAGAAGCCATTTGAACTGGGAGGTAAGTTTGTTTTATACACACAAGTGAAATGAAATATAATTCTACTTCTGTATATGACTGCATTTCGAAGCGTAAATGACTTAAATTTAACATTCAATGAAAAGAAAAGAATTTTAGTTTTTGTTAGAGACAGTCTGTAATTGATCATAGAGACAAAGGTAAAAGTTATCGAGAAGTAACAGTTATTAGTAACAAAGAACAGTAGCAAGATATCGGTAAAGATATAAGAAGATATGTGCTATGCGCATGCGTCGCACGTACTACGCGCATGCGTAGTGAGAATACATGCACGTCGCTTTATTCACGAAACGATCCTATAACGTTTTCCCAATTAATACTTTAATTCGAGTAGTCTTTAAAACTTAAGCAATTAGAACAGTACTTCAATCAATTTTCTACCATCCGAGCAATTTAAAACAATTATTTTAAGAAATATAGTGATTTAAATATGTAATTGTTTAATGTAACGTATATTAACCTCATATTTTTACGATTTGCTGTTTCGTACTCAGTGACAAAATATTGTGATTTCGATATGTGAAATTTCTTCAGAAATTGCCTATTGAAAGTCAATGTAGTTATGTATATATATTTTCTATTTCCAATACATGATTCCTGTTTTTTGTAAAATTAGCAATATGTTATATAAATCACTCTTTATATAAAATAACAAATACAAAAGTGTCCGAATATCAATGTACCCGTACACAGTGTATTTGAACTCGATATGCAGTTGAAAAGTAAAATGGTTTCGGCCTTAATAAATTCATCTTTCAGTCGCGTAATACGATAAATGCAGTTACTGGAAGTTGAACGATTTCAAGTAAGCTTCGACATTTTTATCAATCGAAATCTTGAACACGTTCGACCGTAAATGGCCCCGAGATAAAAAGAGTTAATCGGTCGTTTGAAATGGCAGCAGAGTGGGCAGAAGAAGATCAGATTGGAACTAAAGGGTGAGCAGTAGATAAGAGCGAACGCTTTTATCGTCAAACTACGACCAAAGTGAAAACGAACGTATAGGTATATCTACGTGTACTGACAGACGACGAAGATCGACGTTTCAATTCATACCATACGTTTCATTCTGACTCGATTTCCAACTCGGTATTACTTCCGCAAAGGGTGTACTTACACTCCGCGGCAAAATTAGGAGCTATGCGAAAATATAATGGAAAATAGAATCCCGTTGAACGTTTATAATATTGGTAATACTAATAATTTAATATTATTGTACTATTTGTAATAATGGTGTTTACGTTGAGTAACGTTTATTTACTTATTTAATTATTGTCTTTTTACCATAAAAGATACTACACGAGATATACTCCTCATATTGCCCAAACTAAACAGTCATAGGTTACATAAAGTACTCCCGAAGTTTTGGCGCGCAATTCAAAACGCTTGCACGCACTCTATGCTGAGTGGCGTTAAAATCGGCAAAAGATGTTGGCAGGTGTACGATTTTTATTTTTGTTACGTTGGTACCATTAGCGAATCTGTATGCAATTTCAGGGGAAAACAAATATCTGCAACATACACGATTGTTTCGATCATCAAAATAAATTAATTCTTAAAATTCAGATCAAGTAATTAAATATAATTAAAACTTTGACAAGTGGCAGTGCTTTGTGTAGTTTTCCTAGTTATTTAAAATGTAGTTCGGAGAATTTTAATATGAATTGAGAAACCTTTCTAACCGTGTCAGAAGTATAAGACAGTTCAGTGGAAGTCTTTTCTGCGAAGCTTTTTGTTTAAAAGTGCAAATATTAATCGTGACAGAGTAATTACTTGTTTTACACAACAAGTACCCTGAAGCAAATATTAAATGTAACAATAATAATAATAATAATTTCTAAGAGAATTATTCTGTAATAAAGACGTCAGAATTGTTGAAAACGATGTGCGGTATAATTATTTTAAAAATTACGTAAAAAATAATTGACGTCGTTCAAAGGAAACAAAATGGCGACAGAGGCTTTTATAACAATTGTGTTCGAGTACAGAGGTTCATAAAGAATTGTGAACATCTAAAAAGGCGTAAAATGTTAAAAAAGCACTCGTTAATATTCATAGCAAAGAAGCACGATTGGAATTTGCAGAGGAATGAGCACATCAGAGAGGAGAAAGATCTTTTTCGGTGAAAAAGGTTTCATTTTAAATATTATTATATAGTACATTTTAAATAGACTCTTTTAAATTATTTTCATAAGTAAAATCAGTTTACAATAGTGACAGGTGAGAGAAGATGCTATAATAATTATATAATGATTTGATCAGAGTTTTTTTTACAAATATATTAATCGATTTATGGTAGTGACAAGTGACGAGTTTTTGTACAAATATGCTATACGAATAATTTTAGAGGTTAGGATATAGCAGTTAATGATTGTCATAAAATAATGTATTACAAATAATGACTATGAGTAATTAAAATTTGTTTTGAACAGTTAGTAACAATTATCGATGACAGCAATTAATTTTCATTATAAGTAATCGTTATCGACGGTGGAAGTTCAATTTCGATTATAATTGAGTAATATTAATGATCGACTTTGTATTAATGTCGATTTTCAATTACTAATTTGTTCGTTACACTTAAATTGTTATTAATATTTATGTCAATGCTTTATAATAATTTGTATTTGTGCTCAAGCATTTGTTCATGTTTCCTGTTATGTATATATTTATATTG